GCATCAGAGGTACAATCAAAGAAAATTAATTGATAAACTGGACTGCATTAAAATGAAAAACTATTGCTCTGTGAAATAAAGCATCAAGAGAGTGAAAAAGCAAGGCGCAACTTGGGAAAAATATTGAAAATGTCTCATGTAAGGAAGGACTGCTATCCAAACGATACAAAAAAATATTTAACAAATAGTAAGGAAAGAAACAACTTGTTTAAAAACGTAAGCGAAAGATCTCAACAGGTACAGATATCTCACCAAGGAAGATTAGCATATTAAAGATTCTCAATATCATATATCATTAGGAAAGTGTAATAAAAACAATAATGAGATGTCACTATGCATTGATCACAAGGTCCAAAAGCCAAAACGTAAGAGTCCCACACTGTGTGAAGGATGTGGAGAAGCAGGAATTTCTATTCATTGCTGGTGGAAAAGCAATGTGTAGTCACTTTGGAAGACAGTGTAGTTTCCTACAAACTAGCCATACTCCTCCCATATAATCCAACAATCTCATTTCTTATCATTTGCTCAGATAAGCTGAGAGTCTTATATATGCCCAGATACTGTGTGCAAATATTTATAAAAGCTTTATTCTTAATTTCTCAAATTTGGAAAAAGATGCGCTTCCATAAGTAAATAGAGAAGTACACTGTGGCATGTTCGTACAATGTAATATTACTTGGTGTCAAGAAGAATGAGCATCCAAGCCACGGACAGAAACATACTTGCATGTTATCTCATCATGAATAAAACATGGAGCCACATTGCTAAATCAAAGGAGAAAATATGTAAAGGTGATATAGTATATGATTCCAAACTTATGAAGTTTTGGAAGACAACAATGCATAGACACTTAAAATTACTGATAACTGGGGGATCACAGTCAGAGTCAAAGAATTTGAAGGCAGTGAAACTACTTTGTATGATGCTATAAAGGTGGGCAAATTCATTACTCATTTGTCAAAACACGTTGGATATATAACACTAACAGGGAACTGTAATGAAAACTGTGTACTGTGAGAGATGGTGACAGCTCATTCTAGTTTTATTGATGGTTAAACAACAAATGCACCACACTGATGATGAATGCTAATAGTAAAGGGTGTTGTGAGTATGTGGGAGACAAGGGTACAGAGAAGAGCTCTGTGTTTTCTGAAAACCTATGACTATTCTAAGAACTAGACTACAAGAAAGAGTCATGAGTCATTGAAAACTCCACCATGAAACTGCAAATGTCTTTCACTGATTTTTTCCAATTAAATTTGAGGGTAAAGTCAGCCAGAAAAGTATTAATTTGCATTAATTTAAAGGATAAAGTAGCATTTAAAAACCAACTGTAATTATTTTTATTTGCGCAGTACTTATAAGTGCAGAAGTGTACTGCATAAACCAAATTTTTATTATAAAATTTATAGTCCAAATATAAAATGGAAATTTAGGGAGAATTTTGTTTGAGAATACCATGGGTATTTTAATGGAGAGATTCCAAAACAGTAATGGAGAGATCCCAGAACAGTCTTGTCTATGTATAGACAAGACTTTTTAATTTATATTATAATTCTTATGCCTAATCACATATTGAGGTGGACCACACTGTCCTCACTGTGCCATAAGTGTGGACCTATATTTTTAAATTATTGTTACATGTGGATATATTTTCTTAAACATCTAATGATATTAAACACATGGCATTAGGGGTTAGGGTAAATAAATTGTTTCACTATGGGGATTTGAGTCCTTTGAATCTAATAGAGCCATCATCAATTCAGAATTGTTTACCTCACTATGAAAGGTTTTGCACTTTAACAAAGTCATAAATAACATTACACAATTGCTGGGTTTACTTTTTCTCCTCTCGCAATTAAAATCATCATATATGTTCTCTTAACTAGTACTCAGAGTTCTTTAGTTTTGCTGTTGGGATTTATTTTATTTTTTCCCTCTCATTGAGTTTATTGGTACATTTTAGGGATACAGTACAGTTACATTCATTACTGGGATCTTGTACCTTTACATGACAGGTCTTGGTTCTCATTTTTCCCCTTGTCCCTGCCCTCCCTTCACCCCCTCCAACCCTCCCCATTTACAAACACTTCATTTCCATTTTTTCATTTTCTCATATTTTTTTTCTTTTCCCTTATTACCTTTCCCCTACCTCTCCCAGTTTCCCTACACCTTTAGCTTCTTTCTTCCTATTTCACATTGTCAATTTTGGGGGGGGTCTGTTTGGCACAGGTGAAAAGGTTCCCCTACCGTAATTTAAAGTGAAGCAGAAGAATTAACCCTACTTTCCACTTGGAAACATTCCTGTGGCTTTCCCATTAGAGATGACACTTCCACACTGTAGAGCTACAGAATATTAGGATCACCCCGACAACTTAGGACTCACCACACACCTTTCACACTTCCTGTCTCAACAGTACTGAAGTGCTTCAGAGTTGCCCAAAGCATTAGCTTTTCATTCCTACCAGATATTGCAAGTAGCTCCTTCTCCTTGCATTGTTTTATCCTCTCTGGCTGGGTTAATCCATGGCTTTGAAAACCCTGCTTGTTTACCCCACCAGGAACCTCAAGGACCCTATGGAAAGGCTTAAAACACCACATTTGTACTGATCCAGGGTCTTACCCAAACATTAGGTAAATTTTTCAAATGAGACTTCTAATTTATGTGGCCATATTGAAAATTATTTATTTTAAAAGCTGTCTCTCTCTCACACTGAGTGGGATTTTGCCTGATGACTATAAATACAGATGCAGCTCAGATAGGCAGTGATATATGTATGCCCCACTGCTTCCACATTACCTGGTCCATAACAGCTGATCTAGAAATATTGGATTAATTTAATGAAATGATGCATATTACTCCATCCCAGTTAGAGTTATGTTTTACTTAAAATCCAGAATATATGTGCTTACTGTTTCAGGATCAAAATGTAATTCTCAAGAATTCAGCATTTTTTCCATGATTCCCCCACTCCCAAATTTCCAGTTCTCTAATTCAAATAAGAAGCTATTTTATTCTTGCAGTTTCTGCTCCTTGAAGAGTCACTGGAATAGAAATGCATTAATGCAAGCAGGATTCGCCCAGACATCAATAAACGCCAAAGGCTCCCAGAGGGCCAGTTGTAGTGTCAATGAAGGCTAATAATTACTTGCTCCTTGGAGCATTTAGATCCAACCCCTTACCTCTCTCTGCTGCAAAGACAAAGCTTTAGAGTACTCAGTGATTCCTAACTCCCTGTGCCCTGGGGGAGAATGGCCAGCTCTGGCAGGGGCAGAGATTTTTAGGAGTTGTTGTTTTTTGTGGTTGTTGTTATTGTTTTTGTTTGTTTGTTTTTTGAGACAGGGTCTCACTGTGTAATTGAGGCTGACCTGGAACTCACTATGTTGTGCAGGCTGGCCTCAAACTCACAGCGATCCTCCTGACACAGCCTCCCAAGTGCTGGGATTACAGGCATGGGCCACCACGTCAGGCAATTTTAGGAGTTTTTGGTGCTCAAGGCAAACCCAAGGCCTCCCCCATGCATGGTAGGTAATCACTCTGTCCCTGATTCATTAGGTTATCTCCCCTCACCCTGGGGCCTCAAGTTCTTAAACAAAGGTGCTGTCTTATTTTAAAATGACAGAGAAGGAGTAATTTAGAACCTCTCTCCTGGTCTCCTGAGGGCCTGGGAATTGTGTCTCACCGTTCGTGGCTCCTACGGACAGGAATAGAGGACTGCAAGAGCCACTACTCCTCCAGCTGAAGGGACAAGGAGTTGGAGACAGCAGCTGTTAGCGTTTGAATCTTGGGACCAGAACCAAAGGACAGGGGAAATCCTGGCTTAAAAGCCCGAGAAGCCCCAACTTCATGGGAAGGTGCACGAGCAGGGTGTCCCATGACCACAGGAATGAGGTGGGTTGGTGGAGAGGGGTTGGCACTGAGGATTTGAACACAGAACCGGAGAAGGGCTTCTGCCACACAAATACAATATGATAGGAGGGAGGAGAGTGAAAAACAGGCGAACACCCGTCAGTGCAAGTTTCAGAGAGGAGGCTGCTCTTCATTCTCGCCTTCCTTGCTTCTTTCTAGATGCATTAATGTGTTGGCGAGTAAATGTAAAAGAGCGCTTAAAGAATTTAAAAAGAGATACCGGATGTATTAACGTGCCCCCCCCATTTCTCCGGTGTGAAGTTAAATGGCATTAGAGTTTCCTTCTTGAGGAGTTTCCAAATGACAACGAATCACATAGACGTCTGGGAGGTTCCTAAGGACAACTCTGTCATCACTTGTGTCCTACACGACGTTGGGCTTGGGTCGTCGTCATCTCCCCTTCGTTCCGAACGAGGCATCAGCTCATTGGCTGGGAGCGCGTTTGTACTTTCCCCACCGAGCAGGGCGCGGAATACCAAGTCTCTCCCTCTTCCCCCTCCCTGCTCCGCTCCACTCTATCTGGAGGGGCGTGGATTCGCCTGTGCGCCTTCAGAGGTAGCAGAAGAAACAGCTTGGAAATAGGTTGGAAAAAGCTATCGGTCTCGCAAGCCCGGGCTCCACCTAAAACAGAGTCCTCCCACCGGACGCGTCTGCGATCGTTTCCCAGCTGAAGCGCGCGCTCCGTGCGGATGCCAACAGACTGTCTGGGCGCTCCCGGGAGCGGAGAGCGTGTGCTTTGGTGTCCTAGGAGACAGTGCGTGTGCATGCGTGTGTGTCTGTGTGTGTGCGTGCGAGAGCGCGCGCGCAGACGACCGCGAGCTTCCTCCCCGGGCTCGGTGCAGACAGAGCTGCTAGCAGCCGCCGGCGACGCGAGGCAACCGCAGCCTCCGCCTCCACCGCCCGGTGATTGGCTGGCTCTGCTCATCATTTCCCTGCTAGCAAGAGGGAAGGGCCAGTGACGCCCCCGAACCCAGCTGCAGAAGCGGCCGCCACCTCCGAAGGTGTCACAGCTGAAGGGAAACCTGAGCCCCGGGGAGGCGGATCGGAGCGAGCCGGGCAGGGCTGGCGCCAAC